TGTCTGGTTCCAGAGGGACAACCTGGAGGATGACCTCTGGCCGCTCCATCAGTTAGCTGTGTGAACTTTAGCTCCCTAAGCCTGCTTCTCTTCATCTGTAAAGTGAGGATGCTGCTAATACTGTCCTCATAAGGATTAAATGAGAATTCAGTGAGTAAGTTCATGCAGTGTACTTAGCACGTTGTTCAGTATTTTAACTATTGATTATATTAACATATCACAATCTCACAACTTCCATTCTGCTCTGTTTGAACTTAAGATTTTGTATATCCAGCTGTTCTCTTTTTCCATTTTTAATATTTTGGATGGAAAAATGTAAGCACTAGTGGTGACGTGAGATTAAACACCTAAGGCCTCCACAGCTTCTCAAAGCTGATTGGGAAGAGCACTTCCTAGTGTGTGTGATGATGTGTGACATGTTACAGTGGACTTACATGCTAGCTTGAACCATAGGTTGCTATTTTATTAAGTAATTCTGGATTCTGTTTTTAGATATTTGATTTAATGGATGCCAAAGCACGTGCTGATTGTATCAAAGAAATAGATCTCCTTAAGGTAAATAACAAATGTACTGTTGACTGTTTTGTACAGAACTGAATATGTAAATAAAAGTGATTTATTAAAATATCCACTTATAAGCAAAAAGATTTTTGAGACATAACATAGGCCACACTGATTTCAGATAACATTATATATAAATTTGAAGTCAGAATATTGAAGAATGCAGTTACCTTTTGAATTCATTATAAAATAATTTAAATGGAACATTTGGTAGGATTAGCTTTTTTTCCCATTTCAAACTAGGAAATTAATAAAAAAGACATAAAACATTGAAGAAAGTTTTTCTTGACCATCCCAGTTAGACATGTTCTAAATGTTAAGTAATATAAACGCATATATCACAAGATGTGATATATTGAGAATGTGGACTGAATCAAATGGCTCCCATTTTAAAAATAATATTTCTGTATCTTTTTTCCAGATTTAGAAAGGATGATGTAAAGAGAATGTCGGAATTATCTTTTCAGTTTCTCATCCACTCAGAGAATATGACTGAAATTTTAGTCATCTTCATACTGCATTTATTGTAGTGAAATTTCTTTTGAGAAATATATTTTTAATTTTTAGATAAGACTTGGTTTTTTTATGCCAATTTTGTTTGTGCCTGAAATGAATCAGATTTATTCAAAAAGATAAGAGTAAGATCAAAATGAACCATGCTTTCCACTTTTCTGTAAGTTGTAGTTATTTCTTGCTACATGAAGTCATTGCTTTAATAAACCTTTGTTAGAGAAATAATATATCATCATAGAAAATGTGGGGGGAAAACCTGTAAGTATAAAGAAGAGAAGATAATCATGCACATACTCGCTAGGGTAATTCTTGAGTAAGTTTCTTTGAGAAACTATTTGTCTTATATGTTAACTCGCTTAAAGATTAAACAAAAAGATTGTAAATGTGTATAGCTTGATGCATATATTTCTGAAATTTTTCTTAGGATTTTATGAATCAACCGCATAGATAAATTCAGACTGTTTGTATTATTTGATGTAAAAGCTGTATTTAGATACAATATAGTAGATGCTAGATTTTTACCGCTGGTTGGAGTTATCCTTGGCTCAGCCTTAACGTCAAAGTAAGAGTGAAAAGGGATACTTCATTTGCTATTGAGTGCCCTTAAATGACAGTTACCATTTTGAAGGATATACTTTTTGACGGTTGGTGATTTAATTCTGTCATTTATACGCATATGTGTATATTTATTGGGCATAGCAATACTTTTTAAAATTTTAAGTGTGTAATTTATTATTTCTAGTAAAGAATATTAAAGTTCATTGTTATCTAGTTTTACTTTCAATAACTATAATACTTGTTTAAAAATTCACTAGGTTAAAGAAAAATACAGTCATATTAAGATTTCTGTAACTTGAAAGGCATTTTAACTAAGTTTATTCTTAAGTTATGAAACTGTAAGTGACTCTTGGGAATGTACAGTAAGAAAATTTTTGGTGCCTGTTTTTTTTTCTCAGCAACTCAACCACCCAAATGTAATTAAATATTATGCATCATTCATTGAGGATAATGAACTAAACATAGTTTTGGAACTAGCAGATGCTGGTGACCTATCCAGAATGATAAAGGTAAGTTGTTTTTTTTTTTAAACTAAAGATTTGTTTTTTCTAATAGAGTTGTATGTTCAACGTTTAGGCTTGTGAGATTCTTTAAAGACCTCAGAATGCTGCTTAACATGGGGTAGGCGTGTAGTAAATGGTAGGCAGAGTGATGGTCTGATTATGAGGCTGGTTTGCCTGGGGAGGTTGATGCTGGTCCACTTAGACGTATGAACACTCCAGCACCAGCCTGGAAGTAGACCGAGGACTTGTCTTCTGTAAGCTAAAGCTGACTTCACCCAGCAGATCACCCTTGATCCTGCATCTCTGGACAGCAGGCAGGGGGCGGAGGGAGGTGCTGGAGCAGTCTGACCTGGGCTGCCCCTGCTTTGGGAGGGAGTCATGGAAGGAGAAAGTGGGCCTTGAATTCAGACTTGCGCATCCAACCCCGATTCGACGACTTAAAAGTTGATTAACGTTCTTTTCTAAGGGCACATTCATTGGGTTTAAGTTGAGCCACAAATTATAGGAACCCCCCAAAACTAGCCTAAAAACTGCTTATCCTTGGGCTTAACTTCGTAACCTGCTTCACTTCTTCTGTGTGCCACATCTCCTCCAAAACAAAGTAAGAAGAGAACCTGTTTCCTAGGGTTATTTTAAATGATTGATTGATTGATACTTGCTAAGAGCTTAGAAGAGTGCCTCCCACTTAGTAAGGCTATGTAAATGGAAGCTGTCGCCATATTATTAATGTTATTATGTGTATTTTTCTGCTACATAAAATTCTGGGGCTAATATGACAGTTCTGATCTCAGATTCTCAGAGACCAGGCCTGTTTACAGCTGGTCTGGGCGTATTTGCTGCTGTATCCAAGGCACATCCCC